ATGCATTCATGTCAGTTGTGACTCGTCATCTGAACCTTTTCTGATGGATCAGAATCAATTTCTGACATGGGGTCAGTCCATCGAAAGAGTCTGCCTTCACTGCTGGTTCTAATTTTGCACATCCTACACCCCGCCCCTACACCCTCTCTTGATCTCTCCAGTGTATCATCCCTACACCCTCCCCTACCCTCATCTGTCTCTACAGTGTATCATCCCTACACCCCTCCCCTACACCCTCCCTGTCCTCTACAGTGTATCATCCCTACACCCTTCCCCCCTACACCCTCTCTGTTCTCAGTGTATCATCCCTACACCCCTCCCCCGACAGTGCTACACCCTCTCTGTCTCTAGCAGTGTATCATCCCTACACTCTCTCCCATGTCCGCTAACAGTGTATCATCCCTACACCCCTCCCCCCTACACCCTCTCTGTCCTCTAACAGTGTATTGCGCCGCTACACCCCCCCCCTACACCCTCTCTGTCTCTACAGTGGTATCATTCCCTACACCCTCCTCTAACACCCTCTCTGTCTCTACCAGTGTATCATCCTTACACCTCTCCACCTACACCCTCCCTGTCTCTTACAGTGTATCACCCTACACCCTCCCCCCCTACACCCTCTCTGTTCTCTACACAGTGTTATCTCCCTACACACCCTCCCCCATAACCCTCTCGTATCTCACAAGTGTATCATCCCTACACCCCTCCCCCTAACACCATTACCTGTCTCTACAGTGTATCCATCCAGTTACACCCGTCCCTGTCTCTACAGTTGTATCATCGCCGTTACATACCCTCCCTTCTTACAGTGTATATCCCTACGCACCTCCCCTACACCCTCCTGTCTCTACAGTGTATCATCCCTACACCCCCTTCCCCTACAACACCCTCCCTGTCTTACAGTGTATTCATCCTCAACCCCTCCCCCTACACCCTCCCGTCTCTACAGTGTATCATCCCTCACCCCTCCCTCCTACACCCTCTTCTGCCTCTACAGTGTATCAAATCCCTACACCTCTCCCCACCCTACACCCCTTCCTGCGCTACACGGGTATCATCCAATACACACCCCTCTCTATAACATACACTCTGTTGTACTCACTTGTCTGACTCGGTGAGAAGATGAATTGCGCAACGAACACTACAGCTGATGGGTTTAGGCGAATGGATTGCCAGGTGCACTTACTGTTTTGATTTAGGCAAGTAAAGCATTGTTTCTTGTTGCGATTGACATTCTCAGAATTCTGCTCTCCAGTTAAACCACACGTACACACCACGCGCGGACAGCGCACATGCACACACAACCCGACGACACACACACACACGCGCGCGCGTACACACGCAACGGCACGCGGGCACACGCAGTATGGACACACGCACACGTTAAACATGTGACACTTGGCATTCAGCAGAGAGGTAATATCGCTTGCGTAATCATGGCGTGTACGTGTCGCAAGTGCTCTGTGTGAGATGGCATGTCTGGACGCGTAGCCTAGGCGGTCTTCGTCCGAACCGGTCGCGTGCCACGAGCCTTAATTTTTATGTGTGGCCAAGGCGGGCCACAAGCGCGACAGTTTCATGTGGCCCGACGCCGCTTTCAGTGGGCCATGTGCACCGAGGCCACCGTTAAAGTCGAGCCCTGTTAAATTATTTCAAAATTTTCTGGGGGCTGCCCCCCACCCCCTCGCACTGGCATGCCTTAACGACACGCGGGCCTGCCTGGGCAGCTAAAGTTTAATTGCCCCCGCCCCGAGCTGTCCATACAATTTCATTCCGGCA